TTTTTTTCTTTTATTTTATGTAAAGCACTTTGAATTACCATTGTGTATGAAATGTGCTATACAAATAAACTCGCCTTGCCTTTTTTTGCATTGTGACATTTATATACATGTAAAAAAACACAATAAAAATTAGGGGAAAAAATACTAAAAGTGAAAACACAAAATCTAAAAATAAAATGGAATTCAAAATGTTAACAAACCCTAGAATAGAATATCAATGATATACTATGGAATGTATATAAAAAAAGCATCATTTGTGGATCATTTTGGCCATTTTCACTCTAAAATTGGGGTGTGTAAGCTCAGATCAATGAGGCCTCAAAATGAAATAAAAACCTGTGCTAAGTGAAAAAAAAAGATAAAAAAAATATTCCAGTTTTGGTAATAATATAGCATAAGAAATGTATACACAATTTTTTGTAGGCTGGTCATTTTTCACCACAAGCTTTATCACTAGCAGGGTGGACTATTGTAATGGTCTCCTCACCGGCCTTCCCAAGAAGACCATTAGACAGCTGCAGCTCATCCAGAACGCTGCTGCCAGAATTCTGACTAGAACCAGAAAATCTGAGCATATTACACCAGTCCTCTAGGTCCTTACACTGGCTTCCAGTTATATTTAGGATTGGTTTTAAAGTACTTTTACTCGTTTATAAATCACTCAATGGCCTAGGACCTAAATACATAGCAGATATGTTCACTGAATATAAACCTAACAGACCACTCAGATCATTAGGATTAGTCAGTTAGAAATACCAAGGGTTCACCCAAAACAAGGGGAGTCTGCTTTTAGTTATTATGGCGCCCGCAGTTGGAATCAGCTTCCAGAAGAGATCAGATGTGCTAAAACATTAGTCACATTTAAATGCAGACTCAAAACTCATCTGTTTAGCTGTGCATTCATTGAATGAGCACTGTGCGATGTCCGAACTGATTGCACTATATTCTATGTATAATCGTTTTCTTAAATTCATTTTAAACTTCTTAAATCAATTGTTTTAATCATTTTCAATGTTTTTAAATTTCTTGTTTTATTGTTGTGATTATTTTTTTTCTTTTCTTTTATGTAAAGCACTTTGAATTACCATTGTGTATGAAATGTGCTATACAAATAAACTTGCCTTGCCTTTTTTTGCATTGTGACATTTATATACATGTAAAAAAACACAATAAAAATTAGGGGAAAAAATACTAAAAGTGAAAACACAAAATCTAAAAATAACATGGAATTCAAAATGTTAACAAACCCTAGAATAGAATATCAATGATATACTATGGAATGTATATAAAAAAGCATCATTTGTGGATCATTTTGGCCATTTTCACTCTAAAATTGGGGTGTGTAAGCTCAGATCAATGAGGCCTCAAAATGAAATAAAAACCTGTGCTAAGTGAAAAAAAAAGATAAAAAAAATATTCCAGTTTTGGTAATAATATAGCATAAGAAATGTATACACAATTTTTTGTAGGCTGGTCATTTTTCACCAAAAGAACAAGTGTAACAAGGCGTATATATATATATGTATATGTATATACGCCTCA